ATATATATATATATATATATTAGAGCCGTTGGTAACTGAGTCAGACGCCATTCTCGCAGTTGCATTTGTTGTTACACGTAATTACACATTTTCTATTCACACACACACACAAAAAAATGTTAGAAAAAAAATTAATAATAGGTCCATACTTTGGGTTTTCTTAAAATAATTTATCAGTTTATTAGGAAGTTTTGAATTTTAAAAACATTTTTATAATAGACCTGTAATACCCAAGATTCCTCCGTTCTTTCCACAAGGTTCTCCTGAATGACGTGTTTTAGGAAAAGAGGTAGACTATATACAGATTTTCTTTCGGAAAGTCAACCTCAGGACAGATTTTGCCTTTTTGTATTTAGAAAATTAGGCTGAGGGCGTCAAATAAATTACACAACGATTCTTCTTAAAAATTATGAATACAAAAAATGCTCCTCTGGAAGAGACTAAACCGGGATTGTTTTAAAAATCGTATATTTTGAAAAATTGGCAAAGGGGTGCCAAGAAATAAACACGAGGTTTATGTGTGAGGTTTGAGGATTTTGCGGCGGTGAGGAAGATGTCATTCCTCCAAGGTTTGACGCCGTGTACACTCGTCGATAGATGAGAAACATACTGTCTTCATCTTCAGGGTTCCTAAAGAAGAAATATTAATTCTCGGGATGTCATCAGTGTTGTATTACAATTAGGTGTAATTTTTTTGAAATTGTGGCGCAAATAATGAGTCATTTCGGCAAGGATTTGCTCACTAGTGTGCTCGCTCCATGGCCTCAGCGGCGACGACAGTTTGCGACCCTCGGTGTCCTGCTGTGAACATACGACCTGGGGCATGCTTCAAGGCACCTCAATAATTCACAGTTGCAGGTGATTTAAGTATTTTATTCAGGCTCCCGGCGGAGCCAACCAGAAAGCAGTGATGGTCGACTGGAACCCATCTACGCCATTCTGCAAGGGGTCAAATCTGTCTGTAGGTGAATTAGGTTTGCTAGCAGTCATTCAGAAAATCATCAAAGAAACATGACAGACTTCATGGAGTACTGTCTTTTGCTGAGAAGCTAACATCGCGCTCAGATAGACAAAAAATCTTCCTTGTTTTTTGGAACCCAAACGTTTGTCACCGTAATCAAACCAACCAACCACAACTTTCTATCGTGAGACAGATGAATCCAATGCACACTATTGAAAACATAATTTGACTAAGATACATTTTAATATTATTCTGTTGTCTGCGACTAGGTCGTCGGAGCGATCTCTTCCCTTCAGGCTTTCCATTTACACTTATGTAAGCATTTATTATCTCCCGGATGCGTCCTACATGCTCAGCCCATCTCATCTGTCTTGATTTGATTATCATCGTAATATTTAATGAAGCATGCAAATTATGAAGAGTTTCATTATGTTGTTACCTTCATAATTCTTTCACGTTGTCTCTCTTTTGCCCAAATAATCTCTCCTAAACGCGTCTGATAAACCTTCAGCCCGTGTTCTCCCCTCAAAGCGAAAGACCAGGTTTCACACCCGCAAAAAAACAACAAGTTAATTTTTTTTGTATTTTTACTTACGTCTATAGATAGCAGTCGGGAAGACAGAAGATTCTAAGCTGCATGTTAGCAAGATTTGTACGAATTTAATCTTTTCTTAATTTCGTCGTGAAGATAAAAAATTCAGGCATAATTTAGATTATCACTTGGCTATTCTGTTATGAGTTAAGTGTTCACTGTATTAATTTGTTTGTGAACTTGTTCCCACACAATGAATATTGTGGAATGGACCCAACTTCGAATATTAATCTTATATAGACGGAGTGGTGCATAAACTGTCATTCATTGGTTTGATTCCAACCCGGGATCTAGGTCTACGGTATTTTGTGCTGTCCTCTGTAGGTAAAGACCTTGCAATGGGCTGAACCCTCTAAAGAGCTCTCCAACCCGGCTACCAAG